GGGGGGGGGGGGGGGGGGGGGGGGGGGGGGGGGCTTCCAAACGTGTACCGTAACAGCAGTGCGGGGGAACACACAGACAGGTGGTGCGATCGACTGTTTTAAGCTGGATGAACACGTAGCTCTGGCTCATACCGTAGACTACATTTGATCAGAGCCAGAAAAAAACACTAATTATCATCTCTATACCAACAAGTCTTGAAGGAGGCAACAGGAGATAAACGCATAATAGGCAATGCATGGCGTCTCGCGTGCTAGTTCTCTTCTTCGATGACACGCAACTGCTGCGTCACAAGTATGCTCGGAAAATCAGAAAACTCATATTTCTTTCCTAGCGTCCACGTCAAGTTTCAGAACAAAAGCGGACACGGACGCATTCGCGGGGACAGCCCCTATACTACCCCAAAACCCTACCGCCTGGTTCTTCCTCCCCCCGCCCCGACATTGGTCTATTTCTTGCCTTCCCCCCCGGAATGCCATACTGGGGTATAGGAAGTGGGCTGATACGGCGGGAAGTGATATCGATAGCATAGATTGAGTAACGAAAACATTTTTGAGCCACCTTCGCAAAGTAGCAAGGAACGATTGGCCATCAGTGATCGGTTCAGTGGGGACAATGCTCCACCCTCTCGAGAACCCGTGGCCTAGTAACAACTAAGGCATGCAACACACAAGAGTACGCCCCCCGGGGAAATTTCCTCGGTTTTTCCTGGCGGGTCGTTCTGCAGACCCGCGCGGCCAAAACCACCCACCTGCTTCGCTAGGGGCCTCGAATTCACATCTCTTCACCAGCTCTCCACCATTGGGTGAGATGGTGAGCACGATGTGGACGGGGAGACCTGAGCACCAAAAAAAATCAGAAACATGTGATACACAGATGAGGTGGCATCACGTAAGGCTTTGAACAGTTGAGAACCTGCTGTTTTGCCCCAGGCTTTGTTTCTTGTTCCCCCTGTTGTGCACAGTACGAAAATCAACTCCAACACCGACGAAATATACTTGGGTTTTAAGTCATAGAATTTTCCCTGCAACACATGTCCTAACGGTCAAGTTCTTAAGCTTACATTTTTTGGACCGGGTTTTCTGGACTCCCTGCCATTAGGTCATTCTTAAGCGATGTGGTGCGTACAGGCAGATGGCATCAAGGAAACCAACATAATGATAATTTTGTATCTCGAACGGGTGGTCTCTCTTTGATTTTATCTATGTACATCGTCAAAAGATAAACGGCACATGCCTACCACGGTCGAAAAGCAAGTAGGGGGGGGGGGGGGGGGGGGGGGGGGGTNGGGGGGGGGGGGGGGGGGGGGGGGGGGGGGGGGGGTGAGGAGGAGGGACAGGGCAAGGTGTGGCAGAGAGAGGAAGGCGTGGTGGAGGGAGGCAAACGTTGCACACCAAAGAACGGTGAAATGGCGCATTTTCATATGATCAGCCGGGCAGCACGGTCTATGCTAAATACAAAGACAGAACACGACGCCCGGTTGACACTGACGGCTTTCCATCGGTCAGCGGCCGGTTAGCTCGTTCGATGCAAACAATAAAACACACACAAACTCCTCCCTGAAGCCACCCTCAGAGGGCCCCAGATCATGCCCCTCAAGAACGGCTGCTGTGTTCAGCCGCACTGAGACTTCACACGACTTTTCATCGGTCAGCTGGATAGCGCGGTCGATGCGATAAATAACAATAATCGAACACCACACACGCTGGAAGACTGGCGTACTTGCATTGGTCAGCCCGCTCCTGCTGTAGCGCGGTCCATGATAATAATCATTAAAAAAAACACACACACACACAAACACACACCTCCTTCTGCCGCGACAGCCGCGACGACAAAGTTCTTTTCCTCCGGGTTGGCAACAACCGCAACCGGGGACAGGAAGCAGCTTGAACCGTCCACGGCAGCTGTCTGCGAAAAAAAACAAAACAAAACAAAAAACACCGCAAGGCATGACCAAGAGGGGCCGAATATCGCCGCCAAACCCTTTTAGCCTTTAGTTAATGCAGTGGGGGGCTCGGTTTAGCGACCCCTTGTGTCACGACGAAATGTAGCCGCTGTTCAGGGCCGGTCGCTAAAACCGAAGTGCTTCCAAGTACCGATTACATAGCAGTTACACCATCGGGGTGCGGCGGTGCGACGAGGTTTTGTGGTCACTAAATAATGAGGGCATGTCGCCAAACGGGGGGTCGCTGAACTGGGCCCCCTACTGTTTGAAGTTCGTAACTGGTGGCGGAGGCGGCGGCGGTGGCGATAAGCAAGAAAGCCATTTTCCAATAATATCGGCATGTGTGTCGCCGTGAAATCTGACCGACCATCGTCAACGCCTGACGACCAAAGGACTGAACGTCTTTGGGGGCATGTAGTCCCGAACATGTGAGTTGTTGTTCACCCATACAGGCACGGCCGACCCTACTACCGTCCCAACCAACACCCGGAAGAAACAACAACAACGAAATACGGTCACACGGACAACCCACGATATAGCAAAGCACAGACGACCGCACACACAACAAAAACGAGGGGTGTTACGGTCTTTTCAGCATCTATATTGTTTTGTAAAAAAAAACAGAAGAGAACCCGACCATTACAATATTCTATTATAGAAAACCTACAGCAGTCGACAAGCATCCGACTACTAGTCTACAGCAGTATTCCATGATAGAAAACCTACAGCAGCCAACGAGAGCACCCCACCATTACAGCAGTACCTGGCGCTCGTGAGGCGAGCCGAGGAATTGCCGAGCGTCCACCCGGCTGACCAAGCCACCCCCTCTCCGCTTGGCGCCGGCGCCGGCGCGCGAGGTCAGCCACACCCGGAACGACCAGTCCGTGTGAAGCGTAAGGACCACGGCTTGTTTCTCCTGGCAGCGAAACGGAACATCGCGGCGAAACGTACAAGCGAAACGAAATGTAGCAGAGGAGGAGGAGGAGGAGGA